TGACATATAATTGGGTTTTCGTTTGCATGAATTGGGGTTTTGAACGCTGCAATTGTCAATTGAATTAGGTTTTCAATTGTTTTTATTGTGTAATCACGCAAATATGCAGCTTATCTGGAGCTCTGCTTGAGTCGCCCTGGCCTGCTATCAAATTGAATGAAAAAATTATGTGCTACCCAAATACAAAAGAGCAACTCTATTGAACAGCATAGAAGGCAAAAAGATTGAAGAAACAAGAGCAAAATTATAATGGTGACCAACTTGATAAACCAGTTAGGTAGGTTAAAAGGATCAAAATCTTAACCAGCACATCAATATATACAATGTAAGCACAGATTGGAAATTACAAAGTGAAAAAAAACACTAAAGAGTAAAGGTACCTTTACCTACAAGCTTATTTTGCCCCAAACTCTTGGGAAAAGATCTAAACTATCATATCAATATAAGCAACAAGAATAAAATTATGAAGAGAAAAAATCAGAGTGCCTTCACCTCAGAGACATTCAAGCCTTACAACTGAAAATATCAGCTGATGTCTAGTACATGAATGAAAACCAAGGGGGAGATAATCACCATGAATTCTAGACAGTTGGCATCCAGAAAAATCGGCACCGAGAAAGACACTTGGCACCCAGACAAATTGGCAGGCACCTAGACAAATCAGCACCTCATAAAGATAAAATCAACCATATGTTTATTGCATATTAGCTTTCAGACCTTATTAAATCCTTGATCAAAATATATTGAACCAAAATTTGCAAGTTTAGTGTAAATATAGCAATTATTTTCGACTGTTTTTACAAATTACCAATTTGATTCCTGCACTATTTATGACATTATTGTATATATATGGTATCTTCGATGAGGTATCTTATGAAGTGGTTTATTCTTTTTATTGTTTATTTTTGAAGACTGTTTTGCAGCTTAGTCATTTGGGTAGCTGTCTTATTCGTGTGTATTCTTTTTCCTCATGCATGAAAATTGATTTCAGAGATTATAGATTTCACTATTCATGTACATTTTGTACTAGTTTTAAAGTAATGCATAGTTCTATTCCAATAGTTTTCTAGTATTAAATCAATAAAACACATTTATTATATTTATATTTAACAGTTTACAGATACATTAACAGCACTAGATTTGCATAAAAGGTGAACACATGACAGTAATGAACTATCTTCAATACTGTAAATATAACATAAAACATATATACAGGCATGCGCAGCACTATAAGTTTTAACAAAGTCACTTTGGTGGAGGTCCATACACACATACATAACAGTTTAAGGTGGAGATGCCGTTGCTACAATACTGATCCCACAGTGCAAAAAGCTGGCCCTGGGTCTGTCGACTCTGCTTTCACTGATACCTTTGTAAGCATAGGATATTCAAAAGTGTTGACCTTTATATATGTTTCTTGGCTTTTACTCATTATGGCTTGAACATGCTTTTAAGCTTATGGCTTGTAATGTCAAAACAATAAAATATAGTTTTCAGGTATTGTGTTGTCTTTAGAGATGTAAGGATCAAACAATAACACAAGCTGCAAACACAAGCTGTACACTTTTGATCTCCATTGAGAAATTATCAAATTCCATTATAAACTTGCATAAAATATTGATTAATGCATAACTACAATTAATTATGATTTAATTCAATGATGTTTGTTCAAACACCATCATATTTTACAATCAATTAGGATTTAATTAAATGACGATTATTCAAACACCTTTAAATTTTGTATTGCATATTTTATTAACGGATATTAATATAACTGTAACAATTCTTTTATTTTTCTTAATATATATAGAGAAAAAAATGAGGTGCCGAATTGTCTTGGTCCTGAAATGTCCAAAAAGATGCTGAAATGTCTTTGGACCTGGGTGCCGACATGTCTTGTTACCAATCACCATTATGACTTTAAATCTTTGATGGATGGATGGTTGTTTAAATGTCCAGTAGAAAATTAAATGCATTTACTGGATTAGAACATGTTAGTGTGATATGAATATAAACCCTTCTTTGTACTAGACCAGCCTGCTGAGCCTCATTTTTAGTGCTAGATCACCAGGTAACAGGTTGCCCTACCAAGACACATTAATCTCAATGGCTTCCAGTCTGCGGAGAAGCAGCAATTACCAATATCTTTGGTTTTACCCAGTCACCCACACTTGAGGCGAACGTGTAATAAAATTCCACTTTCTGGCTTGGTGGTGACTTTAACCTTCCAGACATAAAATGGCCGGAGCAAAATATATCTGGCTCATTGTATACTAAGGAGCTGAATGAAGCATTTATAGATATGCTGAACAACTTAGGCATTGAACAAATGGTTGATTTTCCAACTAGGAAAGATAATATCCTTGACCTTTTCTGCACAAACCAACCTGCATTGATAACAAAAATAAAATCCATACCAGGTATATCTGACCATGATATTGTATTAGTGGATGCAATCTGCAAGCCCCAAAGATCTAAACAATCACAACATAAAATTTATTTATGGAAAAAGGTTGATATTAAAAAGATAAAAGACATAACATCTCATTTTATATCTGAACTTATATCTCAGGCTAATGAAAATTTAAATATTGACCAATTATGGAATAATTTCAAAGAAGGTAGTAATAAAATAATAGATGATAATGTACCAAGCAAAATAACTAAATCTAAGTACACCAACCCTTGGGCAAATAGGGATATAGACCATTTATGTAAAAAACAACGTAAAGCTTACAACAAAGCTAAAAAAACTGGTAAACAAGAACATAAAGATAAATATAAAAAGTTAAAAGCTACTGCTCAAAGAGAAATAAGAAGAGCCCAGAGCACGTACATGCAAGAAATAATTAGCCCCCAGTTAGAAGTAAAACCTAAATCTTTCTGGCAATTTATAAAAAGTAAAAAAACAGAAACATCTGGTGTTTCACCATTAAGAGGAAAGGATGGCTTATTATATAGTGAGCCGAATACACAAGCTAACATCCTAAATGAACAATTTAAAAAGGCTTTTACTACCGAAGATACATCCTCTATGCCAAATAAAGGTACAAGTCCCCACCCCACTATGCCAGACATATTTATTAGTAATAATGGCTTATTAAAGTTACTTAAAAACTTAAATCCACACAAAGCCACTGGCCCTGATAATCTGCCAGCATATTTTTTACATAACTTTGCAGAAGAATTGTCTCCATTTTTGACATTCTTTTTCCAAAAATCTATTGATACTGGTAAAATCCCAACTGATTGGAAGCAGGCTAATGTTGTACCAATATTTAAAAAAGGTGACAAGCATAACGCTATTAATTATAGACCAGTTTCACTAACTGCAATATGTTGCAAAATTCTAGAACACATTATAACAAGCAACATAAGGAAACATCTTACAATTAATAACATATTAAATGATAGTCAACATGGGTTTAGAAGTAAAAGGTCTTGTGAGACCCAACTTATCATCAGTTTACAAGATCTTGCAAAATCATTGGGATATGGTAACCAAATAGATGTTATACTTTTAGATTTTTCCAAAGCTTTCGATAAAGTCCCCCATCAAAGATTAGCCCAGAAATTAAACTTTTATGGTATTAGGAATCAAAATTTAAATTGGATAAATGACTTTTTAGCTGACAGGCAACAGCAGGTACTATTAAATGGTGTTAAATCTTCAAAATTAGCTGTTGATTCTGGTGTCCCTCAGGGAACAGTTTTAGGCCCAACATTATTTTTACTCTTTATTAATGACCTACCCGAACATGTAACTTGCAATGCAAGACTTTTTGCAGATGACTGCTTATTGTATAGAAATGTTAATAATAGTTCTGATGCCAAATTACTTCAAAAAGATTTATCTAGTTTAGTACAATGGGAAGAGGACTGGTAAATGAATTTTAATCCTGAGAAGTGTTATGTTATTCATATTTCTAAAAAAAGTAAACCTTCCACTTTTGATTATATATTGCACAATCATGTTTTAGAAGCAGTAAAAGATAGTAAATATTTAGGCGTAACTATAAGCCATGATCTTGATTGGGGAACACATATAAACAATATTACCTGTAAGGCAAATAAAACCTTAGGTTTTCTTCGTAGGAACTTAAAAAACTGCACACGTAAGGTTAAAAACCTTACGTACACATCACTTGTCCGTCCAGTCGTCGAATACTCTTCCCCTGTATGGGATCCGTACAAAAAGCAACACATCACTCAGGTTGAGCAGGTACAGCGTAAGGCAGCCAGGTTTGTCTTCAATGATTATAAAGACAGATCACCTGGAGCAGTTTCAAATTTAATTAAATCATTGGAATGGGAAAATTTAGAAATAAGAAGGAAAAAAGCTAGATTAACTATGCTATATAAAATAAATTGGGGGTTAGTGGAAGTTCCTAAGGACAATTTAACAATATCTGATAGACGTACTAGGGGGAAACATAAATTTAGGCAAATATCAACAAATAAAGATTTCTATAAATTTTCTTTTTATCCTCGCACTATTTCGGACTGGAACTCACTACCTGAAGCAATAGGTATGTCTGACACCCTGGAATCCTTCAAAAGTGGCATATCCACTCTAACATTTGAAGGAGCCACAACAACTTATTAAACTACAAAGCCACTGTACATAATGTATATATGTTATTGTTAATGATTTTTCTTTGTCATATTATTTTTAAATTAAGTCCATATGTACATAGCACACAAGTTCCGGGAAGTTTTACACTCCTACCTAGGAGTCTACTCCCGTATTCGGAAGAAGAAGAAGAAGAAGAACCACCAAGGCAGTAAAATAAAATCTTTGACACATTTATTCTATATGCATGTGTAGTCATATGAGTTTGAAATGTTAAATCGTTATATTCTTTGCTTTTATCAGGGACAGTCTATACTAACTTAGTATAGAAATTCCCTGCTTTTATGTTGGTTTTTTTCTTTCATGCATGTTCATGATGTTTATGTGTCTCTCTCTGTCGTGTGTCATGTGTCTTTATGAAACTTACGTATTATAATACAGATTCTAGTGTGCCAAAGTCATCATAAGTTAAATAGTGAAATTATCATTCACTGCTGGATGTCTCCATATATTTCATTTGGCTATCAAACGTTGAACAGAAAGTGACTTGAAATTTTAACTTTCACAAAAGCGGAAGTTAGTAAGGGAGGTCACTTGACAACTTCCGGTGATAATACCGGCGGGTTCTATTTCAATCTTCCAGCATTTTTGCTGTAATGAATAATGTGAATTTGGCCTGAAAATAAAGGATGGAAAGTCAAGTTTCAGTTATGGTGCCGACGTTAATTTCGGCAGTTGAAACTGTCATGAATCCTATAGCAGCACAACAGGATCGACAATCTGCCCAACAGGTACCATACAATCTGACTTTTGCAATCACATTAATTATACTGGTATTGGTATAAAATTTTATTCCAGTATTGTTGATTTTTTTTTGAAAAATTTACATTTAATAATTTATGTGAAAGTCATTTTTAATCATCAATAAATCTTTCTATGTGAAAACTTGCTATATTTTTCATAGATGCAAAAAAGTACATTTGATATGAAAACATCAACAAATTTATCTTTTCCAAAATATTAAATTGACAAAAGAATGCTGAAAATCATATCATGTCACTTGAAAAGTTTTGGGCACAACTAAGCTGTCTTCCTTCCTCTGAGTAATTATCTGGTGACCTTAAATAAGTCAGTAAATACATAATGGCATATTATTATGGGAAATTTCATTGTTTTTTAAGGAATTGAGGGTCTTGAACAGAAATAAAGGACAATATTTAATGCTCTAATAGACTAAGTTCAGTCTGTTATCAGTTCAATTAGATGGGTGTTTGTATAAAAATTATCCACAGTTCTGTAAGAAGATTTTACGATGACAGTAAATGATGTGAGCTGTTTTATTAGACCCGATAATGCTGATATATTTATTTTTTTTATTTCAGATACTGGAAGAATTTAAAGAATCATCTCCATATTGTGTGCAATGTGGATTGAAGTTGTCACAATATTATGATAATCCAGTTGCTCGACATTTTGGACTGCAGTTATTGGAACATTCTATAAAGTAAGCAGTCTGCATATAGCTGGGAAGTGTTACATGCTAAACAATAATGTCAGACATTTACTAGGTTTCAAATTCTTATGTTTTTACTAAATATTAAAACATAGAAGATTAAAAAAAACTAACTGTGGATTCATTATAATTCATGGTATACTCATTCTTGTGGATTCATTATAATTCATGGTATACTCATTTTTGTGGATTCATTATGACTCATGGTATACTCATTTTTGTGGATTCATTATGATTCATGGTATACTCATTTTTGTGGATTTATAGGGTAATGGTGAACCATGAATTTAAAGGTTCAAAGAAGTGCAAATTTTCTTTAGGCTAGTATGCAGACTTTGGCAAAACTAAAAAAATGAATATCCATGAAAAGACAATTTTTATTTAATCCATGAAAAATGATACCAAAAAAATATAAAATAAACCCACATTACCATTACTTTTTTGTTTTAGACATAGGAATTGTGTGAACTTGTTAGCTGTTGGGGTCCCTGTTTATTTTAGTATTGTTTAAGTCATGAGGTTTCTGCCTCACTAACCCCTCTTTTTATTTTAAATGAAAACATCAGGGTATAAGGATATACATTAAAAGAGTAGTATTCATATGACATGTATGAATGGTAAAATAGGTGTTTGATATCTTTATCATATTCAGGACAAGAGTGTGTTGTTGATGTAATATGTACCATGTAGCAATTAATACAGGTAACTAAACTTTTATAAGTAAAGAAAAGTAAAAAAAAAAAAACACTGAAAAAGGACTTTAATGTAAAAGAATACAAATTTATACAAATATATGTGATCTGAAGACAAGTATTTTATATTACTTATTTGATTTGACCATATGAAATTATAACTATATGAACTGAAGATAGATATTTAGAACTTTGTTTACTTTTAAATGTTACATACATGTCAGAAATTGTGAAACAAAGTCACATGTTGTTGAGTTATTAAACAAACTTGTTAACAGTTAATATTTGGATTTTTCAGATTCAGATGGAATTCTTTCATAGAGGTAGAAAAAGAACAATTAAAGAAGAGTTCTTTACAAATAATAGAAAAGGTTGTTGTTTAATGATTTTTACTCAATTTATTTCATCAGCTAGCAATATGAGGCGGTATAAAGTATGTTTGTACATGTTTACTTGGTAGTTCTGCAATGTTTTTTCAATCCACATCTGCTAAGAAATTACTGAATGGATTTCAACTTCAATATCACTTCTTCTATCAATAGTGTAGTTTCTTCATTTAGATTTCTAGACCAAGATTTGAATACAATTTGAATATGGTAAATCCTGCAAAGTGAAATATTTGCAATCCACTTTTCCTCACAAATCACTAAAGTGCATTTCAACCAAATTTCTATTTTTGCATGTTGTTGTGTTGGTATGCATGTTGTATTTGTTTTATACTGTTGATTATATCTATCTTATTGAACTTGAAATAAAGGATACCACAGATACAGTTAATATAAAAAGAAGATGTGGTATGATTGCCAATGAGACAACTTTCCACCAGAGACCAAATGACACAGAAATTAACAACTATAGGTCACCGTATGGCCTTCAACAAAGAGCAAAGACCATACAGGATTGTCTGCTATAAAAGGCCCCGAAATGACAAATGTAAAACAATTCAAACGAGTTAAGTCTGCTTCATATCTTGACTTTATAAGTTAACCATTTCAATTAAAATTATAAACTTTTCTTTTAACCAAATAAAATTGGTCAATTGGCTAATTCAGGTGATCTACTAAACATATGTTGAATACAAATATTTGTTTTTTGTTCTATTTGCAAATTATAAAACAATTCTTTTGTAAATATTTGGTTGTTTATTTTGTACTGTATTCTTTTTTCAAATTTTTATTCCTTGGCAAAATAAATGGTGTTATTATGACATCATATTTTACAAAACTAGCAACAATCATTTCCCTCCAAGGAACTATTGACTTCCCATTACTCTTATAGTTTGTATCAAATATGACTTCATGAGATTCAAATAATTAAACTGGAATTTATAAATTATATTTGTTTTATAAATTTTAAAGTCTTTTTTTTTCAGGGCACATTAGGTATAATGGATGAAAAAATATACATAAAGGATGTGATATCCAGAATAATTGTAGAAATTATTAAGAGAGAGTGGCCGCAGTTGTGGCCAACATTGCTAGCAGATTTATATAACCTCTGTCAGCATGGGGTAGGTAACTTTATTTCCAATAGATGAATATAGAAATTTTAATGTTGTGAAGGTGTGGGTTATGTTACATTAATCTTTATAACTATGGATATTTCATTGGTTTTGAAGTGCATTTAAATGTTTGGTATGGTATAAGAAGCTAAATTTTGTACTTCTGCTCAGTTTTACCTTTTATGACATAATTTACAACAATATTGATGTCACCTGAAATCAAAGCACAATAGTTGTATAAGTCTTATATAGTGTTGTTTAGGAAATAATTTTGAAAGTTTATAGGTATTAAAATCCTCAGTTTTATATACTTATATTATATGGCATTAAAGTATTTTAACAGACAAATTTAGGTTTAGCAAAAAAAAAAAAAATATTTTGAAGAATATAAAAATTGCTTACAGTCTTAGATTTTTTTTCTATAAATTCAGACATTAGTGCAAAAAATAATTTTCAATAGATGAGTAAGTCTTTCACTATCCTTGCTAAAACTGTTCAATTCAGCCATTACAGTTAGGCAGGGTGAATCTCGTCTTCTACTTCACAGTCTTTACATATTACACCGGTTTAGTCTATGTACACTTGTTTTAGACCTTCCAGTTATACTGCTTTTCAGGGACATTTAGTTGAGTATTTAAACAGGTAAAAGTTAGGTTTAGCCATAAAATCAAAGTAAATAACATTTAAATTACTCAAAATTTTCAGCAGTATTAGGTCTTGTAGATAGTTTACAATATTTGATTGTCATACTGTCAATTTTAAATTTACTACGAAAAATGGAAGCAAGTTCTTGTTGTAATATTTTGTACTCACATTTTACTGTATTCATGCATATTTTAGTGAATTATCTATCTGAGTGGCAGTAATAAATTTAACATTACAGTCCACTTTTAGCTCATCTAATGTTTCTTAGGTTTTGTAGTTTCAAAATTATGTCTGACACTCCTGCCAATCAACCATTATGTCAGTTGCTATCTGAAAAAAAATCACAGGGTAATAACAACATGAACAATTGTTTATTGATCTTCTCCTTTAAAAATTATAGTTGCTGACCCAAACAACCATCAAACATGGATGTTATCACTGAAAAAAATCTGCAATAAATCCTATAAGAAAATGAAGAAAATCAGAAAAATTCCTGACAAGATCAAATTGCTAACAAACCAACTATCAAACTTAACATGACTACTCACGGCCGTCAAATTCTATTTTTTCCATGGGATCATATGAGATAAATTTCTCCTGACATAACTAAAACAGAACAGAAATCATCTCAAATGTTTATGGTTTAAATATCACATCCAATCATGACATTTTTGGATAAAATCATTTTAACTTAGTGGTTCTAAGATTGAGTTATTTTTGTTTAGATATTAGAGTCTGTAGTTGACAATTCATATTTTAAAATAATAATGAACCACAATAAAATTATTTTCTGAATTTTTATCTGTGACAGGCAACACAAACGGAGATAGTTCTAAAAATATACCTACGCTTGGTAGAAGATGTTGTCAGCTTTCAGAATCTGCCTACTACACGTAGAAGAGAAGTTTTACAAGGACTAACAGCAAATATGGAAGATTTATTTGATTTTTTTCTTACTTTATTACAAAAATTTAGTAATGATTTCTACAAAACAGAGGTATGTGAAACTTTATTTCTTTATAGAGTTGTGAATTTATATACAATTTACACAGGATGATTCACAATTTTTGTCTCACCTGCAACGAAAGATAAGTATTACAATCCGCGGGCGGCGACAGCATAAACTATTTGTATAAAGCTTTATATTTCAGAAGGTAGAAGACCTGGATGCTTCATACCTTGTATGCAGATACCTTATGTTACAAAGTTTGCGTCTATCATATGTCCATTGTCCTTGACCTCATTTTCA